AATTTTTGCAAAGAATCCACTGAATGTATGTAAAGCATTGCATTTATTCATAATTTTACTGTAGGTTATACTATGCTAGTTTAAGAAAAAACCCTAAAATTGTTAATGATAATCACAAAAGTGCTAAAGTTTTCCTCAATATAGTTTTTGTTTTCATTTCAGACACAGTCTCACTTTGTCACCCAGGGTGGAGTACAGTGGCACATCATAGCTCATGGTAACCTGAAACTCCTTAAGTGATCCTCTTGCCTCAGTCTCTCAAATAGCTAGGAATACAGGCATGTACAACCACATCTGGCTGATTTAATTTTTTTTTTTTTTTGGAGATGGGGTCTTTCTATGTTGCCCAGGCTGGTCTCAAACTTCTGGCCTCAAGTGATCCTCCCACTTTGGCCTCCCAAAGTGCTGGGATTACAGGCATGAACCACAGTGCCTGACCCTCAATATGTTTTATATATTCTATATTTACTTATAGAATTCTCTCCTTTAATTTGATCAGCTACATTAATATTAGCATCTTATAGTTCTGAAATACTTTATGGCTTGCAAAGTTCTTTCAGAGAAATTGGCTTATTGATGGATGCAGGTGATATAGGGAGGATAAATATTATCCCTCCCCCCCCACTGCTCCTCATATGTCAGGTGAGAAAACTTGATTTCTTAGCAGTCAGCAAGGAGAAATATTTCAGATGAAAAAGAAAATTGCACATTTCTTTTTCAAAACTGAAATTGTTAAGGAGTGTGGATGAAGAGAAGGAAAAGGATAAATAAGTCTGGGCAAAATATGCAAATTAGTTCATTTCTTTAACTGTAAAGTGTTTTCATTTTTTCTTTCTATAGTAATGACAGCTAATATTTAGTTAGTGCTGTGTGCCAAGTGTGAGCTGACTCATGGAATCCTCGTAACTATGGTGTTATGTATCAGTAGGTACTATTTTGCCCTGATTTTAGAGACCAGAGAACTGAAGAACAGAGGGGTAAATAAAACCACTACTAGAAAGTGGCAGAGCTAGGACCCAAACTCAAGCAACTGACTCTGAGTGTGTGTTCTTAACTGCTATGATTAGTGTGCTGGGATAAAATAGCTTTCCAGGGGAGTCTATCAAAAAAGCCCACATTTCATGGCATAAAATATTCCCATCATGGCCAATTTTAAGCTGCCAATGGTTTAATAGCCAGCTTGGAAAATTCCTGACTATTTGCCAATCACTGACTAAGTGCTAGCTTGCCCTATCACAACACTGATGATCCTACAGGGCCTCTCTGTGCTTTTAGGCAGTATCATCCCCAAGACAGGCTATTCAGTTATTATTATTTTAAAATTGACTTGATTGAGTTATGATTTACATATAATGAAATGTACCTATTTAAATGTGCAGTTTGAAGGCAGACTCTTGACAAATGGATACACCCATGTAACCATCACCACAGTCAAGATATTTTTCAATCACAAAGTCTTGTCTTCATAAATCCTTTTATAAATATGTAGCTGAATGTTGCAGGCTTAGCTTTTACAAAAGGCTGTAGTGATGAAGAGGATACATTCAATTAAAACTCTCACTTTTTAAGTTTGATTTTGAGTTTATAATGCTAATATTAAACAATGACATTTAAATCATAGATTCAGTTCCAAGATTTAAGAAACCTGTAGTACTCCACACAAAGGCATTGACTCAGCTATATGAATAAATTTTTCACTTTCATTTGATATTTGAGTATATTTTTTAAAGCTTGAGTAGTTCAGATTGGCTGTCTGGTGCTCTAAACTCCAAATAATTACTTTCTTCTTTATGCCTTATAGAACTGCCTTCTTACTGGTGGACTTTATGGAAACTACTAATTAAATAAGAATTTTAATATGTCAAGTTGATAATTTAAAAAGGTTTGCTCTTCTCTTCTTCTTTCTTTCTTTCTTCCTTTTTTTAAAAAAATAAACTTTCTAGTATTGAACACATCTCAAGTGGCTGGTTTTTAAAAGTTCATTTCCTAAAATTCCAGCAGATGGCACTCTTACAAAGACTAAAGAAGTATTGCCTTGATAACCTGCAGTTGTTTTTCTAGGGGATTCCTTCCTATTGTGACCTATTTAGAAATCTATTTGTTTTGGGTAATAAAGTTTATTTTTTTCTGATAATCAGAGCCAGACCTGCTATTTGTTGAATGTTTTTAAAAATGTTCCAGAGAAAAAATAAAATATGCTCCAAACCCGTTGCTAATCCCTGAGAGAGAACCACTGTAACAGTTTAGTGTATATACAGTATTTTCCAGAGTTTTCTCTAGCTTAAACACATAACATATGCATATAAAAGTAAAATTTTAAATTTATAAAATGTTATATTTTGAAATAATTATAAACAATAATTTTGTCTTTTGTTGTCTGATCCTTTGTCAGATTTTTCTTATGAGTTCTTCTCCTTAAAGATAGACCTCCCACTTCTGCAATTCATTACTTGCTATGGCCAGTGGGACCTAACACATCTGTGTTGAATTAGGGTTTGTAGCCTAGAGAGTGAGGGCTGGAATCTCATATGGACGTTACTGTGGTCTGAATGTTTGTATCCCTCCAAAATTGTATGTTGAAACTTAAGCACCAAGGTGATGGTATCAGGAGGTGGGGACTTTGAGAGGTGATTAGTCCATAAGGGCAGAGCCCTGGGGAATGGTATTAACGTCCTTATAAAAGAGGCCCCAGGAACTTGCTTTGCCCCTTCCACCATGCGAGGAGGTACTATTTATGAGGCAGAAAGCAGGCCCTTACCAGACATTGAATCTGCCTCCATTTATTTCTGTGAGAAATAAATTTCTGTCATTTATAAGCCACCTACTCTATGGTATTTTGTTATTGCAGCCTGAGGAGACTAAGATAGATGCTGTGCTAATGACATTTCTTGTCAGTGAGAATAGGGCCAAGTAAACTTACATAATAAGAAATCTAATGCTTCCTTTGCCAAGTGAAGACTATAGTATATTCTGACTGAGATATCATCAGAAAAGGACTGTTATTTGGGTCTTGCTGGCTGGTCCATGAAATCCTAGCTATTGGAGCTTTAGTAGAAAATGTGGTGAAATTACTAATTTTTTCTGAGGTAGTCTTTCCCCCCATGGTATAACCTTGCTGGCAGCTGACTTTCCCCAAAGCGTACAATCCAAGAGGCCGAGGCAGAACCAAAAGCCTTTTGTGACCTGTCCTTGGAAGTCATACACTGTCACTTCTTCCGTAGTTCTGCTCTCTGTTCATTGTGGGAGGGAACTGCACAAGGGCATGAGGACCAGGAGGCAGGGACCACTGCCAAATGGGGCCATTTTGGAGGCTACCACAAGAAGTAATATATAGATGGTATTTAAAGCCATGAGATTGGATGAATTTACCTGAGGAGGGAGTATAGAGAGAAGACAAGAGGATTGAGCCAACATTCAGAAGTCACAGAGAGAAGTCTGAGAAAAAACTTCCAGTGCAATGCTGTCTCTGGGAGCCCCATGGGAAATAAATATTTTCCAAAGAAGGAAATGCTGGGAAACCAAGATAATAGCCAGGAAATGACCACTGCATTTATACTTATGCAAAACCCTGTCTGCGTTGAGTCTTGCACCATTCAGATGTAGTTATAGGGAAAAGAGATGTTTAAAACAGTTACTATTTGCAGGCACTTTTGAGTACCAGGGAAGTGGCATCATCTATTACTTGGGGGCTGTGAACCTTTTTAGTAAAAGACTGTAATAATCTCTTTAGGTTTGAAAGGTAAAGGTCTCCAGGGAGGTGTGCTGGAAGGTGAGGGCTAAACAGATAGGTGGATGCATAATGAAGTGAGATGAGGAGAGTTCCTGAAACTACTAAAAAAAAAAAAATACTAAAAGGCAGAGTGACTTGAGGAAGCTGCGTACTGAGGCAAGTCAGCTTAAAATGGCACGATAGCCCTCCACTGGGTCTTGCACCCAGCTCTGGAATTCCTCCAGGCAGGGCTCCTCCCTCTCCCTTCTGCTCCTTCGACACTCACCAGTTCCCCTGGTTTCTGCATCCCATATTGGTTCCAGTAAATAACAGGACATGAATATTGAATACTTTCTAGAGCCAGTACTTTCTAAGTTCTGATGTTTTTATGTATATTACCTCATTTAATCTTCACAAAACCCATGCTATGAAGCAGGTACTATCATCACTGTCATTTCCACTTAAAGAAACTGAGGCACACAGAGGTTACGTTACTTACTATTAAGTAAATGAGCCAGGGTTTGAACCCAGGCTGGTGTCAAAGCACAGGCTATTAATCATTAAATCCTATTCTTGTTTTCTTTTAGAGTTTTGAATTTGGCAATCCAGACTGAACCATCTCCTCAGGCTGAGACTTTCGCTACCTTCTGCCCCAACAGAGACCATGACTTCTGTTATTGACTTGTGGGTCTGACCACTGCCCTGCCCACCCCAATAGAAATCCCTCCCTAGGCTTCACTGCTGCCAAATAGGGGAAAGTAGAGCAAGGCAATATTTGTTCACACCCCTGTGTCTTTTCACACGTATTTGCCCTGTTCTCTTTCTCTCTCATCTGTCTGGCTGGTTTCTGTGTGAAGCATTTCATTGCCACCTGACAAATTGTTCACTTCCTCTTCCATGTGTCCTTTGAACTTCCATTTGACCTATTTCACTGTATCACCATTCCTGAGAGATGTCTACCTCTGCCCTCAATTGTGTCCTCAGGCAAAGAACAAGTCATATCCTTCACTGAGTCTCCTCCAATCCAGCATATTGTAGGGGCTCAATAAATATTTCTTGATTGCATGAAAGAAGGTGCTAGAAAATCCCCTGTAGTGGACAATATAATTTTGCTACAGCCTTGATGGGCTGATATAAAAAGGATAGACCTTCTAAAAGAATCTTCTTAATCTCCCACCCTGACATCTGTGTCCCAGTGTTTATCTACTTTATTATTAGAATGTCAAAAACCTCTCTCTATGCCCTTGACATTATTGTTGAAATCAAGAAGGCACACATTTCACATCATTGTCATTCATCTTTTATTAAAATCAACTCTATTAAAACAACACTACTTGATCAAAGCTCTGTGATTAAAAAATTGTTCCAGGTCACCAGAAGAAAGTTCATTAAAAGACTACTCCAGGTCCAGAAAGATGTAGGGTAATTTTTGTTTGTTTGTTATAAAGATAAATGTAGTCACAATGACTTATGATTATAAATTGTTTCAGAAGGACAAAAAGGACTCAACGTGAATAGGGAATCCAAAGAAAATGAGACAGAAAAACAGAGATTGAACGAATATAGCATCTCATTCTGAAAGGAATAATTTCTGTTTGCAAATTTCTCATTCCTAAGGAACTGATTATAGGGCAGATTTTGTGAAATTTTACATTAGTTCTTCAATTTCCTGAACTTGGGATGAGACCACCTCACCATTCACCATCTCCTGCACAACTGTCTTGATTTTTCGTTTTTTTGTTGGGTCTAAAGATAAAAATGGAATAGGGGGGCAAAAGTTAGTGTTTCAAATATTAATCCAAAATTGGCTGTTGTTTAAACTTCTAAATTAGGTATTGGCTGATATAATCCATCAAATTTAAACTTTCAAAAGTAACTTTTACATTGTTAAAAAATGTGTTTTATCCAATGAAAATAAAATGCGTTTAGTGTTGCACAGAAATGAAAATATTTTTCTTTTTAAGCATTTTAAAGCTGGTTATGGGGCTCATAATATCTTGTTGCAGAAGTAATTTTTTTCCCTTCTGTGCTTGCTGAAAGTTTCAAATACAGTACAGACTACTCATTTTGCTGCAGGAATGTATACATGTTTTTCCTTGGCTCAGAATATAAATATACTTTAAATTTAAATTCTTAAGAATAATGCAATAGTCAATGAGATCTTACAGTTTTAATTGTTAATAAATATGATTCTGACTCATTCTAAGTGATTCTTAGGGACTCTGCATACCTTTAGAGGAATCAATTGACTGTGCTTGAGATTTGGAGTCTGTCACAAATAGAAGACTCTCATCCAAACCATCACTGTAAGAAAACAAAGGAGGTGATATTAGAAAGTAAAGCAGCCTGGCAATTAATGAAAAATCTGGTCTTAGAAACTAGATTTCCCAATTTACAGTGCCGAGTTCTTCCTACTAGTCCAGACTGATAGTCCTTTTAAAAAGTTTGCTTCAGTAGGTGGTTCAGGTGGCTACCATTCGATGTGTCATTCTTTGCATGGGGTCATTAATACCAGAAATTGAATGGGTGATTTTTCCAGTACATGGAAATACTCCTTTATAATATGCCTCTGACTGTGGTGTCTGCTCATTGCAGTAGTTTATGAATTATTAAGGTAATAGGTAAAAACACTTTGCAAAGTGTAGAGTATTTAGCAAAGCCCAGGCATATCTTTACTAGATTTGTGGTTTTCTGTCAACTGAAGAACCATTCCTTTTATTGCAGCAAAGCCTGCATCTGGTGCCCATTGTCCGTCAGGCCTGAAGGTATTGTCAACCTCAGTTGTCTATTCACCCTTGGGCCTCCCCGTCCAGCAGGCGGCGGTAGGTCTCAATCTCCAGCTCCAGGCGGGCCTTGACGTCCAGCAGCCGCTGGTGGTCGGCGTTCTGGCGCTCGGCGTCCGCGCGCACCTGCAGCAGCTGCGCCTCCAGGCTGCCGATGAGCTGCTGCAGCTGGGACAGCTGGCCGCAGTACTCGCCCTCGGCCTCGGCCAGCGAGTCCTCCAGGGATTTCTTCTGCACGCGGGAGGGAAAGGGCACCGACATAACAATGAGGGGATTGGAGAGAGGAGGCCCCCAACGGCCTAACGTCATTTGGACGCGACGTTTTCTCGGGAAGTTGGAGTGTCGCCGCGTCTTTGCGCGCGCGAGCCTACCATGGCGAGCTGGGACTGCAGCTCGATCTCCAGGTTTTGCACGGCGCGCCGCAGGTCGGTGACCTCGCTCTTGCTGGACTGCAGCTGCTCGGTGTTGGTGCTGATCTCCTTCCGGAGCTCCCCGCTCTGCAACAGCAAACAGGGCAGGGGGACGCCAGCGCTGCGCTCGCTCACGGGTCTTTCTGCCAATGTCATCAAAGCCTTCTGCTTTTGTTTGTCTTACCTTTTCAATGAACCAGGCTTCCGCGTCCTTGCGATTCTGCTCAGCGATGGTTTCGTACTGCGCCCTCATGTCATTGAGGAGCCTGGTGAGGTCCACTCCCGGGGCGGCGTCCATCTCGACGCTGACCTCGCCGGGCCCCCCTACTCGGAAGCTTTGGAGCTCCTGGGGACAGCACGAGAGAGAGAGAGGGGGCTTCAGAAGCCCATTGTGACTTTTCACAGCCCTTGGGTACTTTTGCCATTATGGGCCTTTCTCTCCACAAAAATATATTAAACCTTCTATTTTATGACTGCGTTGGTATAAAGATAAACATTAATACAATGTATTAAAACACTTTAACCTAAAAATTCGTATTTGTCTTCTGATTTTACACTTTAAGACATATTATTCTATGGGTCCCTAAAATTATCACAGGCCCCAGGGGTGGTGGCTGCTGTGCCTGCTGGGTAAGTTGGCTCTGCTTCTTGAGGGGCCACAGCCTTTACATGACAGGAGGCCCGAGTACAGTCCCTGGGGGTTTCACCTACAGCTGCCAAACCGCAGGCTGCAAGCAGTCCCTAGGTTTGCACACCGCTTGGACTGCAGTCATTGAAAACCCAGGGGTCACTTTGGAAGCCTATTGTCAGTGTCCATTCACACCAGCCTGCGACACACACACTGTAGCACATCGGAGTTCTGTGTATGTGTATTTTACCCTGTGTACCGCACGTGCCTACACACAGAAATCCCAAAGACGTGGCCATTTTAACAGGGAGATAATGTATCCTCCATATTTGTCCTAACTCCAGGTTTGTAAATTTGAAATTGTAATTCTTGGGTCTGGGAGAAAAAAAAAAGAAAAAGGCAGCTTAGTCCGGCCGTCCTAGGACTGACCTCCTCGTGGTTCTTCTTCATGTAGGCCAGCTCCTCGTTCAGGTTCTCGATCTGCATCTCCAGGTCGGCCTTGGCCAGGGTCAGCTCGTCCAGCACGCGGCGCAGGCCGTTGATGTCGGCCTCCACGGTCTGGCGCAGGGCCAGCTCGTTCTCATACCTGAAAACCAAGTGCAAAGCAGCTGAGGGAATCAACACAATGATTTGAGCAAAGCCCCTGCCATATTCAGGGGGTTGTGTTGTTCATACATTTATGCGATTATTTAATAATAGCAGTAGCATTGCAGTATAGGAAGCAGTTTTTGTTTTTGTAACTTTTCCCTTTCCTTGTTTCCCCCATATTTTACTGCTTAGTTGGAAAGGAGAAGAAAAGTGAAAAAATTATGAGGCAATGCTTTTCTACCAGCAATGAACCCCAAAAGCACTGCATGCCAAGGGAACAGGGCTCCTCTCCCCTTTTGCTGGCTGCCATGGCTATGAATAGCTGCAGCCCCCCTCTAGGTGGAGTTTCTAATGGCATCCTAAAAGCAATTGAACATAAAATAATAGTTACTATTTTTACTTAACATTCCTCATGATTTAATTTAAAACATTGATACTTCTTTAGTAGTTTTCATCAAGATTTTACAGGCTTAAGACCATCACTACTGCAACTTCCTGTCTGGAAATTTTGCGAGTTGAAAAGGAGCCTTAGTATTTCTTCCTGATTTCTGTGAGGATGAGGCGTGGGAAAGGGGGTAGGAATACAGAAACAAGTGCATGGTTCATCTTTCAGTTGTATATGTCATCAGGAAAGCAACAGTTTCATTTAACCCCTTGGCAAGAAATTGTTAATACATTTTGATACATTGAAAATTGATGTTGAAGACACTGGTGGAATATGGTGTCGGTGGCATCATGAATAAACAGCACATTACAAATATAGTGATTCATTGTCCTAGGCTCAAGCAACTTATAATTTAAGGACACTTAATGCAAATGGTGTTTGATTCTAATTACTTCCTAGAATACTGTATGTTGGATTTACCAAAACACTAAATGCATGGAACATGTGAACTTCAGGAGATTTGAAATATTTGCTATCGACGAAGGTAAGGAAATAAGGAATGAGAAGAAATAGAGGGGTGTGTCAGTCTCTTCTGCTCACTTCATCCGGAAGTCCTCTGCAGCCAGTCTTGCGTTGTCAATCTGCAGGAGGAGCTGGGCATTTCCAATGTTGGCAGAAATGATCTGGCAAAATCGGGGGAGACGCACAAAGTGAAATCCTAAAATACTAGTATTATACAAATATATTTTTGACACAAAGGCTTACAGTGGTGGTGTTCAAATGCTATTTTATTAAAAGTTTGTCACTTTTCTAAGAAAATATATTTGTCAAGTGATATTGAAAAATTAAGAAACATACGTTTCCTACAGAAAGATAGTGGAAATACAATCATTTCATGGTGAATGAGAAAGTGGAACTAAATGACCTGGGATGAGCAAATTGCACCACGTACAGTCAAATTGAAAAAAATATCTAAGTTGCAGATGATCATCACCGTAAAATACTGTAATAGCAAAAAAGAAAAATAATTCCCAAGTCCCTTCCAAAATCATCTTCTTACCTTATTCCTGAGGTCTTCGATCACTGGGTAATATTTACTGTAATCGCTCTGTGACGCAGGGTCTCCAGTCCCGGTGCCTCGAGTTTCATACCATTCTCTAATTTTGTTCTCTAGCTCAGTATTAGCTTCTTCTAGAGCTCGAACCTTATCCAGGTAGGAAGCTAATCTATCATTAAGATTTTGCATGGTTTCTTTCTCTGATCCAGTAAGAAGGCCTCCATCATTGCCAGAGATAATACCTACAGAGGCATTTCCTGCGCTTCCCCCAAATCCAATCCCCAGCCCTCCAAAGCCACCTCCCCCCATGGCTCTCCCATAACCAGTGCCCAGTCCTCCTGCCCAGGAACTTCCCAGTCCTCCTGCCCAGGAACTTCCCAGTCCTCCTGCCCAGGAACTTCCAGAGCCACCACCAAAGCCAGCACCAGAACCAAACATGGAAGCAGCAGAGAAGCCTCCCCCATGGCTGGCTCCAAAGCCAAAGGTGCTCCCGCCATAGCCACTTCCAGCACTGGAAGCAGACATGACCCTGGGTCTGCCCGCTATCCCACTCTGCGAGGACAGCCTCCGGGACAGTCCAGAGCTGCGCACTGAGAGCGAAACGCTGTTGCTTGGGAGATCCATAGCCTGGAGAAGGAGGCCACCACCAGAGAGGAAGCGGTGTCACTAACCCCAAAAGGCAACCTTTTATAGGCCGTGAGATGGGCGTTGCAGTTGAAAAGTTCACTTTCTCCACTCAAAATAAGGTGCCTCTCCCACTCCGTTTTTGGCCAGCTTGACAAGTAAATGATTTATGTCTAATGAAAATTCATTGATATAGAAATAATTGAATAATCATTTTCATTTAATATTTATTATACTAAAAAGAAAGTTGGGTGGAGTAGAGTTAGGTTGTCATAAGGAATTTTTCTTCTCTGAATTATCCTATTGCCTGTCTTCTCAGCACTGCCCGGTGTCTCATATGGAGTAGGAAAGCAACGAGTGATTGTTGAGTGGAGAAGTTAATAAATACTTCGTCCTAAGCCTTAAGCTTTTTGAAGTTCTTCACTTATTTTTCCTATTTGTTTTCTCCAGACTATCCAATATAAGCCATGTGATCATGGTCTAGTGTATCTTCTAGTGGAATGTGGTTTCAGAAGCATCTATCTGTGAAATGCATTGGAGAAGGTGAGGAATAAATTCATTTTCCAGATTGATACTGGAATTTGAATTTTCAAGGATTTTAAAACCTTGTCATTAGGATATGACTTGGTTTCCTTTTCCCGATTCAGAGAAGACCTTTGAACACTGAAAAGTGCTATTTTTGAGTAGAATATTGTAGTCCTTTCAGCAGTTTTTTTCTTTACATAAGAATTGACCTTCTTAGTAAACACCAGGAAATCAGGGGCCTTGTCTCATTGTTCAGTGCTCCCCTCCAGTGTTCGTTATGTATAGTCCTTCAACAGATATTGCCTGTACTAGTTGCTCAAGAAATGTGTTGACTAGATGAATGGATTGTGTGAAAACTTCAAACTGATAATTACCATTATCAATAAGGACAAAGAGGAAACACCATTCAAATTAATAAGTGATTAAATTCCCAAGTTTGAGAAGCCAGTGAACCGTTTCAGTTGACTGCCATGATGAAGCGGATAAATTTTGCAATATAGAACAAACTGAAATAAATGTTATCTTTTAAAGTTTTGTGAAAGCTTTGCAAAGCATGCTTTAAGGAATCGTATCTAGTGTCTATTTTTTTTTTAAATACATTCCCTATTATACTTTCTTCTTTGGTATATTATTTGCCTTTGAAAATGAGGTGGCTCCTATATGGGGCATGAAAACAAAAATGTTCAGATGGGAAATGTGTTACCTTGAAAGAAGTCTGCTTTTAGAGAGAGTTGTAGAATCCTGGAAACCTACTACTGAAATTCTAGGGCAGTGGAATTTCCTTAGGAATTTAAATTGTGGGCGTTTTGATTTGATAAAAATAAAAAAAGGATTTTTCTTGCACATGTTTTCTTTGAGATGGTGGTCCAAGCTTCCACATAATTCATTGTAAAATAATTCTATTGTTGTCTTTTAAAAACATAGCTCTTTATGCATTTATTGTACAAATTTGGAGGAGGCAGAAAATATAAAGAAGACATGTATATACAAGTATATTGTATATATTTTTGAATATAGTTTTTACAATATAAGGTTTTATAATCTGCTTTTCCCTCTTAAGATTATATAATTAACTATTACTTAAATTTTAATAGTTGCTTGGGTATAGAGCATGGATTGTAGATTCTTGGAAATCCTTTGTTGGATTCAGATTTCTAAATTCAGTTTGCTATTTATTTGATGACAGGAAATAAAATTTCTGGGTATAAATAAGTTTTTGTTGCAAAGATATTTATACTGAATTTCCTTAATGCATACATTGACTGTATGTGTTACAAAGGACTGTGTTTTGACTAGAATGGATTTATTGAAATAAGACACATTAAAAATCATTATAAAGATACAGTTCCTATATCTTGGGAAACAGGGAATTTTAGTTCTCCAAAAGATACCTTTTTTTTCTCATTGATGGCTACTAAAATTCCTCTTCAATTTGGTATACTTGGATTCTGCATTTTATTTTATCCTAAAGAACACTTTTTAAAATATTGCTCATATTCTAGATTTTTAATTTTATCGAATTCTTATTTGATTTAATAGCACATACCTTTCATAACAAAGAAGACTTTTAGAAGGCTTTCTATACATTTTAAAGTAGAGATTAAATCTATATAGTAAAGATTAATTTCTCCACAGTATAGTGGTACCTGCGAGATCATTGAGAGACTCCTTATTCAATACAACCCAAATATTTAGCAAATACTTGGCGATTATTTAAGATTTTGCCATAAGCACGTGCAGCACTTTTTGTTTCTCTTGACTAAAACAATAACTTGATGTCTTTTGGACATTTTTCTTCAATAGCAGCAATAATAAAAAAAGTAAGCTTATAACTGTTACCCAACTTGAATTATGTCAAAATGGTTTGGTCTTTTGGAAAATTAAATCCAGTATTTGAATCAAGCCAACTTGAAAGTATTCAAGTGCGGGGTCTGCTGTCAGCTCCATCTGCAATTTCTAGTCCATTTGCCCGATGTCTTATACAAAGTCAGCATTCAACAAATGCTCATTGAATTTATTTCTCTCTTGATAAATCAAGCTGCTGGGTCATGAATGTGTGTTATGTATGAGGAAAATTTTCCAGAAATTTAAAAAGAGAGTGTTGCTATAAAGTCAAGTTACTTGGTATATTAATTTAAGTATTAACAGGTTCTGATACCCAGTGTAGACACAGGCAGGTGTTACTCTCGTTCTAATGGTAACACACGCACATACACACCCCCAAACATGCACTCAGATGTCCTTGCGTGGTGTTGGTGTGCAGGTCCTCGCAAAGGGAGGTTCTGCAGCCCCTAAAGCTTCACCTTCCCTGGGAGCCCTTTTTCTAGAGAATGTTTCTTTCTCTGGCCTTTGTCTCTTCAGGGCTAGTCTCACAATGCCCAGCTCTTGTTTTGCCTTGGTGGTGTACAGACTGACTCTGGATCCCTCTAGTTCAGTGCCGCCTTCTTCCCACCTGAAACAGCTGGCTGTGCCCGCTGGGGAGCTGGGGACAGATGCACAGGGGTCACACCTAAGTCCATGGCAGACTCCATGAGGACTACCCAAGATCAATTCTGGCGGATGGAAAGACTATTTTGACTTTTAAAAAAAATCGTATTCCCAGGGAAGAAATGGTGAAATCCAATGACGACTTCCTTTTATCTTATTACATAAGGGACAAATGTGAAGGGACATATTTTCCCCCAACCTATCCACATCACAAACAGCAAGCAAGCAAGATTCCTAAACAAAGAGGTCTTAAGCAAGATATTTGCAGAAATTACACATTTGCTATAGATGTGGGAAGGACGCGGCAAGCCAGGTCAGGCTCGGCTTGATGAGAGAGGCCGTAATCCATTTGTTTCATTTCTTGAGAGAATGGAAACGTGTTAAGTGGAAATATCAGCTCCATATGGAGATTTTTATTGAATTCCTTAAATCCATATCATAAGCATTTTGGCTGAGCTTGTCCTTGTTTGAATTGTTATCAGCTATCGTGTACTTACTGCTTTCTAGGCACTGGGCCAGGTGAATTACAGACATTACTTTTTAACCTTCGTGATAGTTACTCTTAAGGTGATGCTTTCAACCCATTTTACAGATGACGACTCTGAGAGTCGGGATGTGAAATGAGGTAGGACTCAGGTTGGTAGTGCCTTCTAAAGACACCACAATCCCGCTGCTGTTGATGGTGATGACAAAAAGGACACAGGATCACTCCGGCTCCTCTAACTGTGAGACTGAGCTCCTGCCCTGCACATCAAACAGGGGCTTTTGCTTTTTCCTTTCATTTATTTATTTTTTTGAGATAGGGACTTGCTCTGTTACCTGGGCTAGAGGGCAGTGGCATTTTTATAGTCACTGCAACTTCTAACTCATGGTCTCCAGTCATCTTCCTGCCTTGGCCTCCCAAGTAGCTGGGACTACAGGTGTCTCAAAACCAAGCCTGGCTAATTTTTCTCATTGTTTTGTAGATCCAGGAATCTCGCTCTTACTCAGACTGGTCTTGAATTCCTGGCCTCAAGCAATCCTCCTGCCTTGGCCTCCCAATGTACTAGGATTACAGGCGTGAGGCATCACACCTGGCCAGCTTTTTCCTTTTAAAAAAACCTTTTCTCTTTGAATTTCTTGGTGTATGGGCTGAAACCCAGAGAATGACATTTCACCGCTTGTAAGAAGTGATGCTGGACATGAAATTCTGCAAACATGTAGGCAAATGTGTTTTTCATTATAGCTTTGACCTGTAACCACATCTCCAGAGATCTTATAAAGCACAAGTTAAGTTTGTACTCCCCACACGGGAACGTGACATTATGGTTGTTAACTATTTACTCACAAACAGGGTTCCCTCTGCTTCCCTCAGCCCCCTACTCCAAGACACGGATTCCATTTTGCTGCTATAGAAATGAAAACAGAAGCTATTACTTGCTTACAGAGTCAAAGGGAGTGTGCCAAGTTAAAGACTGTACCTTAGTGACATGGTCACATAATATGGGAATATGATTCACTTATATTTTTGAACTTGGAACCAAATTTGTCCTGAAATGTATACTTTCCAACTCTAATGTCTATATGTAAATTTTAAGTAATTGCTCAACATCTATACATTTTATTTATACATTATATGTTAATGTTTCTGTGCATATTATTTATTATCGGAGACTAAGCTTCTCAGGTAGGGAGACTATATCTAACCTATTTTTCGTCCTGAGTTCTAGCCTGGTGTTTGGCTGAACTTTATCACTGCATTCCTGGAGTTATTTCACTTGAAAGAACTTAATTCTTAATGTGTTTAAATGTGTCACTTAAGATTCACTTCATTTGAAAATGACTATGTCCTAATTTACCGGTATGCTTTGACCAAGATTTATTCTGAATTCAGTTATGAATGGGGAGCAACTTCAGAAGTTGAAAAGGGAAATATTTCTTCTTCAGTGGCTTTTTTGGAAGAGGGAAGCTAAGTAAATAATCAAGCCTCTGCTTTAGAGTTTTTAGAAGTGAAAATAATTTTTTTGACAGCTGGGTAAAATGTATAGGCAGAGGGGAATGTAAAAAAA